TCTTCTCTTTTGTAGCCCCACAACGGAGATTTCGGCGGCAGAGCTGTCCGGGGTACAACCCTTTCAATAAAGTTTTGTTACTGTTGCGCATCGATTAACACGTTGAGTGCCATGTCAGTCACCGGTGACTGACACTGAACTTTCCGTTCAGGCCGCGTCAGTCATCGGTGACTGACAACTGAACCGTCCGCAGAGCGCGTGGCCTGAATGGGAAGTCGTCAAAAACCGCGTGGCACTCAACGTGTTAAGTTACTCCACCCGGGCTCTAACCGCGCACGTCGAACGCTCCGAGCGGCTACTGTCTCGGGAAGAGAACCGAACGTAGACCGTGGTGTACAGGGCGCCACCGGCCTACGGTTATAACCTTTTGAGTCGAATTTTTGGTTTAAAATTTTGTCTCGTTTCGCGTTTTCCCGCTAGGTATGCCATCGTCAGGCCACGCGCCAAGCGGTCTGCCTTTCCGCGTTCTAGTTTTCTTTCGACCAAGTCTCGTGTGAGCGCTCTGTTTTCATTATCTTTCGGTCGAAGTCTCATGTGAGTGGCCTAATTTTATTTTCTTTCGGCCAAAGTCTCATGTGAGCAGCCTTGGCTTTTTGAAATTATAGCATTAGTGCCTCTTCTCGATCGGACCAGGAAGCCGTGTCGATCCGAAAGCAAGAATGTTGTCTTGCATGGTCGGCACGTAAAAGTTCCGTTTTCGCGATGTGCGAACCATTCGAAAGTAATTCCTTTTTGCACAATACGATCACTGTTGTAAATCGAATCCCGTCTCTTTTGCGATGTGCGAAACCCCTATTTGGAATTTAATATTTTCTTGCTGCTTTGAACTCAAATCAAGGAATAAAGTGTGATTTAGGAATGCTAATACTGCCTTCAGTAGCTTAGGGCGAAGGTCTTCTTGAATATTTTATTAGGCCATCGATTTATGAAACGGGTACGATGAGTTGGAAATTTTTGTAGCGAAAACCCTGCCTATCATCAATTGTCCGTATGTCAATTCGAAATCGTAGAAATTAATTACATTCAGATTTTATAAAATAGTAGAACTGTAATTATTTCCTATCCGAGAAAAATGATTGAATCTGATTATGCCCGAAACATTTGCGTATGTCGCGTAGCCTGTCTGCGCTGATAATATTCTGGATTGCGCCCTGTCTTGCGCTTTTTCTTTCCTTTCCTTTTTTTTTTTTTGTATTGCTGCCCTAAATGAGTTTAATCAATAATCGCCGAAACCCCTAATTTTTTATTGCGTACCTGTAATTTATAAACCACTGAATATTTTCTTTGCCAATATAGTTCGTGTTTAATTTGTTCGATTTGATTTAATTGCGTGTAGATATTTGCATGCGCACGATCCCGTATATTCTTCGCGTATAATTTAATGTGTTGGGATGTGTTACGTGGCGGCCGAGGGGATGCGAGGCCGAGGGGAATGTTCGGGTTTTGCCTAATAAGGTCTTACCTTGAACGTCCACGTAATGATCAGATATTATTGTGAGGAGATGGCCCGAGCGGCTAGACCAAATCCTTTGGTGGGATTTATAGGAATGGGGAGCTAAGGAGGGCCCAATAAATGGAGGTTATCAATAAATTGATGAGGATGTATATATTTGTCTTTCTGTCAGATGGGGTTTCTACAAATTTTGAGGGTCCTCGAGGGTGCTCGCGTTTAATTTATACGATTCGATTTCGTTCCGCGTTGCGGAGCTTCGGGTGACGCGATAAGGCGGTCAGTGGCAGTAGGTCACTGGACGCCTAATCTGCTAACATGGCACTTTTTGCATTCTGAATTTGTGAGGTTCGCGTGACTCTAGCGCGAAGCAAGATATTGAAATGTTTTGGAGATACAAAAGACTTAATCTATCCGGTTAACCGGAGCTAGGCATGGAATTCGGGTGGTTTTAGTTACGATGAAAAATGAGGTTAGGATTAAAGATGAAGGTGACCCGAGCTTGCGAAAGGGCCTGTACCTGGCTTGGATCAGCGGCCCAATTCGGTGACGTCCTCCTTAGATCGATCAACCGGATGACTGCGCGTGAACGCGTTCTGCCGTGACGTGCCCTAGGGTTAGAGGTCTCCTCGGAGCCTCCCGTCCAATGGATGTACTAGTGCCGCCGTCCCTTCCTGGATTGATGCTCTTGGATCGCTGGAGTACCGAGCAGCACGACTGTAGCTCGGGGTGCAGGTGATCCTCCGAATTCGATGGTTTCGGTCTTAAACTCGCTAGGAACTGAGAGTCGAGAACCAAAGACTCCAAGCTCGTGGTCGATGACGATGATGGGTCCGTGAGACTCGGTGTGAGTCTGACATTTCTTCTAACTGACTGCGACTAACTGCCCATTAACTGGACGGTTGTTGGTTTTTATCGGCGCATTTGGGACGGCGCTCCAATTGGTGGGGATTCCATGGTTTAGACGAGGGCGGTGTTTGCAGGGGTGGAGGATATGTTGCAGCGTCACCAGGATGCACTTGGGCCCGGTTGATCGCGACCTGGTCTACTTGGGTCGGTGGCGCGATCTTAGTCAGGTCGAGTGGTACCTCATTTCGCAAGCGTATGGCAAAATCGCGTGCTAATTTATGGAATTCCATGGCTACCTTCCGATTTATCGGGTCGCGATTATTTCGTATGTAGTGTCTACGTAACAGATGCATTTCGTAACTCCGATCAGCTGCCTTAATATTTTCGTTCCGTAGTAGAGCCCGAAGGTAAAGTCGAAATTATTCTCGCATATCTTTCTTGGATTTTGGGCGGCTTAAGACCCGCCTTTTCTCTTTCGTGCACATCGACTTTTCGAGCGGTAGCGCGCGTTCCGTCACCCAACCCAGTCCCGGATCGTGGGTCCGCCTGTTACCCTTTTTTGAAGTTTCTGTTAAATGCTCTATTATTTCAAATAAATCGGATTTGGCCCGTGCAGTTCGGGTCCCGGATTGGTCCTTTGGAGGGCCTGGCACCCAAATTTTTGCTGCAGGTTTGAGCGGTAACGAGGCGAAGATTAATTTGCAGAATTTATTCATTTGTTACGCGGCCAGAGCGTCGGAAGGTTAATTGCCAGGATTATTTGAGAACCTTCAGTTGTTTAGTTTTGCAGTAAACTCAAAAATAACGTCACATGTGCCACGGACTTGTTTAAGAAGAGATCATTTATATTTTAAATATTTTTGAGGTGGGTACGAGGAATCAGTACGTTTTTATCCTAGATCTCGGGTATCATTTTGTTTTCGCTCTAACTGATGACTAAGATATCCATTCCGTTCAGTTTTTGTTCACAAAATGTTTCCTATCAGTAGTCAAAGGAAATGTTAATAGGCGAATCTCTTTGTTTTTTAATAAGGAGTGCAACGCGTTTTCCTTTACCCGGGGCGCGCTGGCAAACGGGGGGAAAGATCGGGATCCGCAGGTGGATCGCCTCTCTGCGAGATCGGCCGGAGGGAGTTTGCCCGACAGCCGCAGGGCCGTTTTTATTTGTATTAGGGCGCCAGACGCGAGAAGCGCGCCGCGGCCCGCGGATTCTCGGCAAGGGCAAGGCCGACATCGCGGGGCGAGAAACGGCCCCGATCACCGGCTACTCAGCCCCGTGGAAGTCCTCGCGACTTTCCGCGGCACGGTAGAGGCGAACCCCCGTTCGAGGTCCCTACAACGTGAAGGGTACTGGGAGGACTGACCGTAAAAATAAAGGACACGATAACCAAATGTTTAGTGAGACGGCACGGTAGTTCTTTATTCGCTCTCTCGCGATCACCGTTCGGAAACACTACATACGGTACGCAAGCCATCGGACTTCTGGATCCCGCCGGCACGCTACTTTAAGACGGGAACCTCATGGTTCCACGGGACGGGCGGCAACGCCAGCCCTCCAGGGCACAACGCCCGCTCGGACTCCGCTCGGTCCACGGCCCGCCAATTCCGGCTCCAGGAGCGACGAGTCCTACTTAAAAGCTCGGTCCTCGGCCCGCCAATTCCGGCTCCGGGAGCGACGATTCATACTCAAAAACCGCGGGATCACGCTCACGGGACACACATATTTCGCGCGAGAACTCACCACGACGAAATCACCGATTTTCTAATGACGATGTTTCCGGCGCACGCGACCGAAACATGGCGGACGAGGGGTCGCGTGTCAAGGAGAATACAAGTTACCATTTAATCAAATTTGGAGCGGAAACGAATCTTTACTAAACCCCATCGTGGGTTTGCTCACCAAGTCAGTGGCAATCCAACCACGGGACGAGAGCAGGGCGTCAGCGGCCACGGGAGAAGAGCGGTTATCGGCAGTACCGGCGACACTCGGAGTATCCTGGACAATGAGCTCCGCGGCTAGTCAGGACCTCCGAATTTCGGAAACCCCTCTCCCGCCCTTCCGTCGAACGCCGTCAAGCTGCCAAGCGCCGTCAATTGACAGTGCGCGCGTTAGATGTCCCGGTGGGTATCGCGGCGCGATAATTGAGATCCCGATTTTTCCTCCTCGACTCGTACCGACCGTGGTAATAACCCGCAATATCAGACCCATTTACGATACTTACTAAATAACAAATCGTATACTAACAAATTTCTACAACACATACTTACAATTAATGATTGCCCAAGATGGCTCCGAGTGTCGCCAACCGATATTGAAATTAAATAATGTCAAAATTCGGTACTCACCGCTACCGCCCCTAATTGTGACGGCAGAATTTTGCCACGTCACAGGAGATAAATGGTTAAATTTAATTGATACAAACTTCATTTAAAGACTGAAGAAAAAAATTGTCAGCTTAGTAGTAAAGTTCCAAAACCTACTGGAGTGGGTATATACCCCATTCATGACTTCTAAGGTTAAAACATGTAGTAATATCATCAAAATTTCTCGCTTTTTATGATTTATTTTACATTGTAAAATGTCTGCTATTCACCTAGGTATACTACACATTATCTTTATCATTACTTCTGAATTCACTAATTTTCCTTGTAATTCCGAGAAATTTGTCGAAATCTGCCCGATGATAAAATTAATAAGTTTATGGTGCTAATTAGACCGTATTTTTCTGAACATTTTCAGGCTGTTGGCTTAACAACCGTCGTTCTGGCAATTTGGATGTTGACGGATCCAACGTTTCTTGTGTCCCTAGCCCAAGAGCAACAAAACTTCAATGCTGGGCTTTATATCCTGTTGACATCTGGGGCATTAATGCTCATTGTGGCTTTCTTGGGATGCTGTGGAGCATTTAGAGCATCTCAGTGCATGTTAATCGGATTCTTTAGTTGTCTACTAGTTGTAATTGTGGCCCAAATTGCCGCTGGAGCCTGGCTGTTCGCGAACAGCGACCGTTTAGAAGAGTTGGTCAGATCTTCTGTCGTCAATACTGTCAAGGTAGCGATTGTTTCAGTTTATACATTTTTTACGATTAGATCTAACGCTTATTCAATTCTATGTTTAACGTTAATGTACGTGGGTCCTAATACCCTATACGCCACTTCTAGTAGACGAGCATTCATTTTTGAAATCTTATATACTTTAAAATTTCTTTAAATATTAATCGTTAAAATTAATCAGCAATTTTTACCAAAATTGCTTATGATAAGTTATTTATATGAAGTCAATATACATTTTCGTTAACTCTTCTGCCGAAAACGCCTCGTGCCGAAAATATCACGAAACTTACATGTATCGGCGCAGCTCAATGTGCTGAATTCAGTGGTGTTATTCAATTGTTGCGCAAATGACATTGTTAGAGTGAAAATGGCCAGGTTTTCATAATTTTGTCGCCGGTTTTTACATTATTTGATTTAATATTGATTCTTGAGGAAATAATTTCAGATAAAAATTGTAACTTTTGAAAAAATATGTCTTTTATTATATACTTTCTTTTTCATAAAATCGTAATTTTTCGAGAAAATTGTGATACATTCCTGAATTACAAAAACATAATTGACTATGAGAGTGGCTTTTAGTATGCTCTAGACGAATGCGTTATTTCTCAGTAAATTCAAATTCAATTTAGGTTAGGTTATAAAGTCTTTTTTCTCATTAACCCTTTGGGTGCTAAGTACTTTCGGCGTATGGGCGAATTTAGTCAGGGCGTGCTAGCGATGTTCGACCAAACGTCGGACGCATATGTGCGCCTATAGCACTCAAAGGGGTAATCAAGGCAATAAAATAAAAAATATCAATAACAGCTTAATTTTTTTAATCAAATAACAAACACTCATTCTTCATGACTCAAAACAATTACTTTGATAAATTCGTGTTAGTGGATTTGAGTAATTGAAAAAAAGAACGATTTGACTAATATTGCCGACATATGCTGCTAATACTGGCCACGATGAAGACAATACCGGTCAGTGAAATTTCAAGCAATGTTTCGCACATATCCATCTGGTGTGCCTATTCCACAGGTGTTGGGTACTTATACCACAGTTTGTTGTTTTCATGGTGAATTGATATTTCGGCATCTATATTTATAAAAGACTATCAGAGAGCATGTGAATGAAAATTCTGACATCAGAGAAGAGAATAGCAATAGTCACTATGGTTTTAATAGCGATTAGAACTATAAGAATTACGTAACTTCGTAATCGTAATTATTACGACGAATCGTAACTATTACGATTCTCTTCTCTCTTCTTCCAGTCATGCGGCCGAGATTGCCCGCAAACGTACGTCAATGACAGAGTATTTTTAATTTCATTTAGGACTGAGACATTCTTACTAAAAACGAATGTAGTTTACTATATTTAAAACTAACAAGATGACATAACTGTACAATAATATAAACACTAATTAAACCACTTTTTATCATACTTATCTTTTACATAAGAAGTGTGTGTGATATTATATCAGCGTCTTGTGAAACATATGCATGTATCACTAACGAACGCTTTCTTCAGATTGCAAGATCAAGTGTGCAGGCGAAAGAGGACGTGTCAGTGCATACACTCCTTTGTCTCGACTGAAATAATCCTTGTAATTCTGTATATATTATGGTGATTGGGATTGGCCTTGTTTACCCTAAAAAAGGTATAAAAATGATGGACAACTCGCGGTTTTCACCTTGAAAATGTCAGTTGCGCCAAAAACTAATATTATCGCTGAATTTAGCTCATCGAAATCCATGTATATCAAACACCATAAAATTCCGTTGTAAAACACACATGGTTTCACGTAGTTACCTAAAGCGATACTGTGGTAAATTAGAAAGTATACCGTTAATTGATACACCGCTTCTGAAGTACGTATAACCTTAATGTATCATATTGACTTTCTGTTTCACGAATTACCAACAAATATTAAAAAGAAACATTGCTATTCGAATAAAACGTGCATTCAAGTAATTGTGGTGATATTTATTGAAGGAATCGACTTATTCAAGAGATATTTGCATATTTTAGAACGAGTATGGCGAAATCGAGTACCGAACACAAACGGTCGACGCATTTCAATCTGGACTCGGATGTTGTGGAGCTATTGGACCTGCAGATTGGGCTGGGAGTAAATACGCTCGTAAAGATTCTTCAGGTCCACTAAGTTTATCTGTAACTCCTGACTCCAGTAATATTTATCGAGTTCCTGAATCCTGCTGCAAGGATAGAACCAGCGTGGCTTGCAATGTCGCTCGTGATATTAAGTTTGGCGACATCGTTAATCCTGTGATTTACTCAGAGGTATTGTAATTTCGACTTGTCCTACTTATCGATAGGTTTATATTATTTTCAATATTGCTGTTTGAGATATTATTTTATTTATTTTTAAAAATTGCCATCTAATATCTGGCCTTGGAATTATTCTATTCATTACAAACTGAACTAAATATCGTAAACCTAGATTTTATAAACTCGTAATTCTATTTTATCTAATCCTCATTGAACATGTATTTTCCAATCTTATTTTGATTACTGAGGAAATATCGTTGTCCAATTGCTTTGTTCGTTAGAGAACAATTTATTTACTATTGGTGTTTTTATTTTATAAGAACAAAAGTGTTATTACGTGTTATAAAATATAAGGTTTTGCAACTTTGAAGTAACGTTTTATATAGTTGGTATCCATAATTATCATTATTAAGTTTGAGAAACAGTCAATAGCTGGCAGAAACAAAGCTGGCTGGCAAATTCTTGGACAAGTGTACATTTATATCCTATTACATTTAATGTAAATAGTTAACGACAAAGTATAATATTAACATAATATATTAAATCTGCATGTTTAACGTAAAAATGCAGTTTCCATTTGAGAGGTAGTCAGTGCAATACAATGAAAAGAAAAAAAAATGTTCAAACGAATAGATCCTAATGAATGTACTTGACCTTTTCAGGGCTGCATGGACAAACTGGTGGATGCCCTGAAAAGTCAGAGTAATATCGTCCTCGGCGTAACTCTGGGTGTTGGTATCTTAGAGCTTCTCGGATTAATTTTCTCGTTAATCCTTTGTTGTGCAATCGGCAGTTCGGACGGATACAAAGCATAAATCACAAACTGGCTCATACGTGCCAACTTCCTTTAATTTAAGTTCAATCAGAACCTCTACTGTACGGAGGCTGGGAAGTTTTACAAACTAATGTATAAATTCAATCTCGTGCCAAGATTTGTCGAATGTCACGAATCGTACCATTTACCGTTGATAAGCTGGAAGAGGATTATTGCTTATTCGGTACATATCCCTTACATAAATGACTAAATTATGTTCGGGTATGGAACAATCTACATAAAAAGGAAATGAGCTTATAAAGTATATACTACATTTATGAAAAACGCGTTATACATTCTAAAACATTGCCCATAATATATAACAAGACGACATGCATCCATTACTCATCAGCGATAGCATTACAGCGCGCGAATTCTAATAGACATTATTATGAAGAACTTGTTCAGAATTCTAGTATCCTTAAATTTCTCTGTTTTATAAAGCATTTAAGGAGGTACAGTTCTAGACGCCCAAGGAATCATTTTTCAGAATCGTTTTTTGTAAGCAACTTAATTTTTTAGACACAGGGTTTTGTCCACTGTAGAATAGCACGATTTCATTTTTATTTTGTTCGGTTACAATATCTGGAAATTAAATGAGTGGTAACTAATGGTATACAACATACTATCAAAAATACATTTGGTGGTAAGCAACATATATTGAATTAACGGGTTTACCTAAAACAAATAACAAGACAGATTTTTAAGGTGATATGAAAGTGGCCTCCGAAGTGTCAAATTATTTACAAAACATTTCTCCAAATTGGGCGCACCGAATCATTTGAAACATTAGTACGTGATTAGGGAGGTCTTAAGGTGAAGTGAAACACGTCGAGAAATTTGATCGGCGTCGGTAAAAAGGATTCTGCTAAATGCCTACATTACCGACGTTCGTATTTATATCGACAACTTTTTCGAATTATACTGGGTATTGTTCTAAATGGCATACTCCGTATATAGTTCCCGTATAATATTTATAAAGAAATTAAAGTAAATCTCCAGACATCCAATGAATTCGTAGTTTTTGATGCCATAATTAACTGCAGAGTGCCATCTGTGATTTTAGTGTCAACTAAACTTTCTCTCCGAGACCTCGTGTTACAATCTTTTTAGCATAGAAGCGCATAAGACTTTTTTTGGCATTATCCTATTTAAATGCGAGTTTCTCGATTACTAGAGTCATCTAAATTGTTGCACAATTGTTCTGACATTTTGGTTTCTCATATCAGAGTCTTTAGTATTTGTATATCGATCGATATATGAGTGCTTGACGCCATTTTGGTTCTGGTCTAGACTAAGTCAAAATTTTGTTTCGAAAATTCAAATTTTAAAAGTGTCAGGACAATTCTTAGATGGTCACAAGTTACTATGTCAAAGCTTCGAACTTCAAAGTTTCGAACAGTTCAATCCAATACCCTTAAAAAAAAATGTCTCATTTGAATCGACTGATTTGAGAGGAGTTTCACTTCACTTTAAGGAAAACCGTGACACTCATTAAATTTCATAAAAAAAAATGTAATTTAAACCAAACTAGAACTAAGAACACATTTTTTATGTTACGCCTTTTGAAAGCTTAGAATCGAAAACGAACACTTTTCCGTCCTAAGCATTACACGTGAACCATACGTGCTCTATAAATGTCCATAAAGCAAAAATTTAGTTGCCACTAAATGCGACGACTGACGCCGTTGACCGATTAAAGTATTAAAAGTTATGAATCTGAGAGATTTCTTGATTTACTTCGATCATTCTATGATCATTGTACTAAAATGACATATGGAGAATTTCTTCTCATATAACTTTCACTATAGAGTACAAGTGTCAACGTAAACATAAATTTCGGTCACGTGGCGCTTCAGCTTGTGTTACCACTCTAATATGCAAAACGACGTTACTGTCGAAAAGGGTACAGATAAATTTTATTTTATCGACATTGATTAAATCTCTTAGCGCCTTTCATATCACCTTAAGGATTGATAATAGAAGTTTTATGTCGATTCGAAATATGGAAATACACGCGCACACGCACGCACGCACGCACGCACGCACACGCACGCGAGTATGTGTGTGTTTACATAACTATGACTATTTGAAGTTGATTTTTCGTTTTATCAACAAAATTTCCGAGTAGTCTTCTATTATTTAATAATAATACTGAATAAGTTATAAATAATCTGTAAATGTTCACTAAATTTATCAAATTTTCAAAATTTTATGTTCACCAACCTTAAATACTGTTTTAAAAAAAAACGAGATTAAACTATGAGAATCAATTATGACAGAATAAAGCAAATCGTCTTACAAGTACTTACTAAAGCGGCAATAAATTTGCTGTAAATTTATCGCTGTTGTAAATGCAATAGTAAACTACTCTAGTAACCATCACAATGATTTGATTACAGAAGAATTGTTTACTTGTCTCGAAACAAAAGGGCCTGCTTTGTTCGATCAAACCCTTCGTCTTGTTTCCATTTTAATTCCGTATCTCCGTCATTTATAAAATTTATGATTTCAAATTGTCAGAGTATATTCTCAAAATTTCAGGCTTTCGGCAAATATTAAACAAAATTAATTTTTGTTATCGTTCTAAACAGACATGCCCCTGAAGCATTCCCCATAAATTAAATAAAAAAGGACTACTTCGAAAGAATGAAACAGAAACGTACAGAGAGATATAAGGCTTTAATTAGCTAAAGTCTGTTGTTCTACTGCGTACATTTAAATAATACATTCTAATGAGTTAATACTTTAAACCGAACCACTGATGCACTTTCCAAATACGGCGTTCCTAACGGTCGCTTTTTGTTTAGGCCAAAGCCCAAAACCAAAATGAGCGCATCGTGAGCTCTTTCTGAATTCGTAAGAATCAGTGTACATATGTTTCATCAGTAATCACTGACTGTTATTGCTTTAAATAATGGCAGATAATGAAACTGAAGAAACATGATTAAACATTACACTTTGTGCGACGTTGTTACTGTAATAGTGATATTAATTAGTCACAAAAATTGGAAACGAAAACAGTCATACATACATTGCATATTTTGTGTAATGATGTTCGTGGTATTTAGTCGCAAATGAAATGTATTCTTTATTATTGTTGTATCTCGTCGTATAATGCATTCTTACAAAGATTCAACTCGAAATTTCACATTTTAAAATGTTCAATTTTAGACAGTGCTGTTGTTTCAGCAGAATGCGCATTTCTTTAATATTCTGTTGTGTCAGTTTTCTTAGCTCGTTATTAATTTTCACATTGAAGTCAAAGCTTTGAGTTTTAATCGATGTCTGAAGAGTTATAATTGTACAGCTTGTATAATACGATTATTTTTTAAATATTCCATAAACGAAAGAATTTCACTTCGTTCCTTTTGCGAACATATTCAATCAATGAATGCAAGGAATCAATTGATTACATTCGCTGTGTAATTCAGTATATTTAATGATTTCCAATTCAGTTATTGCACACGTACTCTACATAGAACTTAATAATCAATGTGTGGAATATTGTTTTACAAATAATTTATTTTCTATTCTGAATCTCAATGGCAATTTCATTAGTCTGAAACTATGTCATAATACTTTCACCATAGCAATCTAGTTTCCATATTATTCAAGTCAGAAAAATATGCACAATTAGTAATACTGATCGTGGTCTCTTTAAGGCGGTTATTCAGACCAATTTTCTGCTGGTGTCATCCATTTTCATGGCATCTTTTCCATAACTTTTATAATAACGTATGTATTTTTTTACTGCTTTTTAAACGATACTCCAAAAGATTCTTTTGAATCAGTATATATGTATCTTGTATTACATAGGGTTTACTCACTTTGGCGATTTTGCTGATAATATTTAAGCTAATAGCTTACTCTGGACTGTCCAATTCTATACGCGTAATTATATAGAAAGAATGTAACTGTAGGATGACCCATCGGGTACGCCGGATTTTCTGTGGAAACCGCCGCGGATTCCGGCGCACCCGATGGATCACCCGTTACGATGCATTAAGTCAAGTTTAGTCCGCATACTCATGAAGCGTTGTACAAAGAATTACAATAATATATACGTAGTAATTAATCTAATGTAACTGTTTTTAATGTTATATGTTCCTTGCTGTCAAAGAAAGATAATTTGGAACTTGTTAAGAGGATGCTGAACCTTCCTATTACTACCAGCTGAAAGGCGACTTATGAGTTTACAAAAAAAAAAAAGCATTTTTCCTCAACAAAATGGAAAATGCTTTTCCAACATACGAGATCACTAACATATCAATGAAATGGCTATCCAAATCTTACCAAAATCGATAAAAAATAACAGTGCAGATTCTGTTAGCACCCAAACTGTTACAGCGACAAATTTATGTACAAATAAAAGCATTTGGGATCTGCTTAAGTTCAGGATGACCGTATTTCCATACAAAACTATTGATAATTCTCTAGTGAACCATTTACAAATAGTTTTGAAACGGAAAAATAAATCAAACCTGTGAATTCGTTTTACACATGCCATTCACGTGTGAAAATCTTACACGTAGGTAAAGAAAGCCAATGTTCAGGTTAGAGTCATTGACACAAATGACGACATAATAGCCTTTTAATATAATAAACTAGAAAACAACGTAATTGAACAGTATTTCATGAATTGTTGTTAACAATTTTCCCAAATTTGTTCGAATTTCAATATAAAGTAGGCAAAGATAAATAACTGATCGCAGTACTTCGCGTTGTGTGTAGAATGCGCGTGAGCATATTTCCTAATTTGTTTCAGGGGGCACCATGACAACCGGTAATATTGCTGCCTATTTTTGCTTCGTTACTCGAATGGCGTTTGGATTCATTCCATCATTTTAATCGAATTCAGCATCCCCTTAAGTTCCATTTCTGGTCAGCATGATATATCCGACCCACCTCGAATTAAACCTTTTACAAAAACTCATTGATAATTAAGATAAAAGAAAAACTCAACTACACTTAGTCTATCTACATTCAATGGCTATTAACTAATTCATTAAAATAACTATTAATAGCACTGATTACCTTTATTATTACCAGAAACGCTTGAACTTTAAGAGCGATACAATATTTTCTCTGTATTTTCCCACTTTCAAAAGCTGAATGCGGGGAAACGTCGCACCTAAAAATATTTGTACAGGATGTACTTTGAATAATTTGATGGATCATAATCACAGTATTCTGAAAATAATGTTCCTAGAGTAGTCAGATTTTTTAATTTTCCAGAAAAAATTATAAGATGTAAAAATGCGTACTTGCAGTCTAC